CCAGGCAGGCTATAAAAAAACAGTAGTTTTCTGTAGGGATGTGTCAAGCTGTCAAACTTGATCGAGTTCAGGTTCCCTAATTCTTCACTCATAGAGCCTGGTTTTGTGCAAACTATTTTTTCTGCAGATGAATTAATACATCTTGTTTTGTGCATCTTTCAAAATATGTACCTTTTAATGCACATTTTTCAAATGTATGAATTTTTGTAAGGTATGCACCGTTTCATTAAAGTGTTTTACACATATGAAAAAGACACATTTTTGCTTGTGCATTTTCAGAGAAACCTGCAAATTTGTTATTGGGCCCTATCATGATCATACTGTATATCAATTTCCCCCAAAGAAGTATGTGTAAGAAAGATCTTATTTTGCCACACACTCTTGCTTACACCGACCTGAATTCTGTGTTCCTCTTTTGTAAAGCATGAGTGCACTTTTAGGATCACAGGACAATCTTCTTTAATAGGAAGGGAAAATGATACAAGAAGGCAAGTTCTGAATTTCCAGTGGAGTAACCATATTAGGTATTCGTGGCAAAAACACTCCTGTAACACACTTTGGCATGTGACTACATGTGCAGATGACTTCTCAGGTGCAGAAATTGTCATCCTCCATTTGCACTCATAGAAACAGATGTGAAGATGGGGAGAGTGCAAAACGTAGGATTAAATAATAAAGAAATGCAATGTATAGTCTATGACCATTCAGTGAGAATGTACAGGTATGCAAAGCAAGCACAGTGATCAGCACAGCAATGAGTTGTAAGCATTTTAGGATTGGTAAGTACATAAACACTTGTAGTGGGAAAGGAAACCATTGTCCCCATTCAGGGCCAGAAGAACTTACTGCCACTACAGTAAATCACCTATTTGATATCAGACCCTTCCTTTGAAATTCCTCTGTCAAAGAAAGTATGCAAGAAAGATTATTTATGTTGGCTCAATTCTTCACTATGTGAGACAGCACTGAAAACATATAACTTGCTCCCCACATCTCAGGCTCAGCCACCATTATGGTGCATGATCAGCCACCAGCAGTAACTTAGAAGCATGTCCCTGTGGTTGTTGGAAGAGAGGGCACCATGAGAAGCAGTGCCAGAGGTGGGAGCATGACAGAGGTTGAGAGATTGCATGGAACAGCAGCAGCGCAAGAAATCACCCTTAAAATCTTGTGTTCGTTGTTGCAAATGCTCTTGAGAAGGACCCCCTTCCCTTATTGAAATTTAAAGCACCTACCTTGTTCCTTCAAAAGGAATGCTGGAATTCAGTTGGAGACTAAGTGCGTATGTATTTGTGTGTACATGTGTCATCCATATTTTTGCCTAATGGAATGTGTGAGGAAGTCAAGCTTGTTTGCAAGCATTAATGAATCAAGTTCTAACCTATCCCCCCTCATCTCTCTTGGCAGCCTGCCCCAACCCAGTGCTCTATGAGAGCCACTACACACACACACACACACACACACACACGTGCACAAAACCTCCTCCCAGCAATTGAGTAAATGCATTTTGATTTCAAGTCACCCAAGAGTAGTCAAGAAGTAAGGAGAACTCTCGGGCCTTCTAAAAGGCCCCTTGGCATCATTCCCTTGGTAGCAAGTGTGTTGTTCATAATGAACCTCCAAAGCTCTCTGGCTTCCAATGGCCACATTTGGCAGCTGTGCATCTAGTTCCTTTGCCTTCACAGCTTTTGCCATCCCAGAAAGAGGTTTGACACCCAACAGGAAATGAAAACTCAGCATCTTTCACATGAGGCATAATTGGGTGATATAGTGATAAGGTGATATAAATGCATGTGTGAAACAGACCACGGGGTTTGGTTTGAAACGGGATAATGTATTGGACTTGGATGGAGGCTGTCTGAAAATACCAATAAAGTGGTCAACCAACACAATTTCACTGGGTGGCATTGATGGAAAGATTAAGAACTTGACATTCAATATTTTTCTGAGGATAATTGCTACAGTGATTGTAAAGCTCCACACATACGAAAAAGCATGGCAGATGTTGCCTGAGGACTGCGGAGCTGAGCTGAGAAAATTGTGTTCTGGCCTCTGCCACCAGCCACAAGACCAAGGGCCACTGGGCAAAAGACCTTCATGGCAAAGGGGAGGCCAGTCTGACTCCTTCCATCAGCTGGAGAGGGAGCTGCTCTGAAGTTTGCGTTTGCCTTTTGCATGGTGACCCTCAAGGCACAGGTGGCCTTATCCCTTAATCTCAGTACAACACTTAGTGATATTTTTATAATGTGCCTAAAATGTTCTAAGAATAATTCTGATGTACCTGGTTCTGTGTATATACAAAGGAACAACACTGGGCTGTTATGTAACCTCGTAAGATTCCAGCTGCAGTTGCTGACAGTAATAAGGCTGGCACATGATGTACAGTGTAGCTTTGAAATAATGAATCATCATCACCCACATGTCTCCGGAGACACTTTTTGGAGCAGAGCGATGCCACTGTTTCAATTCTAAGCTTACTAGAAGGTAGTGGTAAAAAGGGATTGTGAGAAGTGACTCATGTGCTAGTGACTGAGAACTGACAATGGAAACTCCCAGCAAAGCACTGAATTAGGTTTTCCAATTAGAAGGTTTGGTGAGGGATGCCTTCTCCAAATGGAATTCGCTTCCATAAGATGTATTGATGGCCACCAAACTGGATGGCTTTAAAAGGGGATTGGACACATTAAGGGAAGACTGACTGTGACTATTAGTCCTACTGGCTGTATGATACCTTCAGTATCATCAGAATGTCTGTGTATACCAGTTGCTGGGGAGCATGGGAAAGAGTGTGCCGTTATGCACAAATCCTACTTGTGAGTTTCCCATGGAGAGTAGGTTGGCTACCATGCGAACAGACTGCTGGACTAGATAACCTTTGGTCTAATCCAGACTTCCCCAACCTTGTGCCTTCCCAACACGTTTGGACTGCAACACCCAGAATTCCCATTTCATGGCCCTGCTGGATGGGAATTCTGGGAGTTGTAGTCCAAATGTCTCTGAAGGCCACCAGGTTGGGGAACGCTGGTCTAATCCATTATACTGCTCTTTGTTCTTAGGTTCTTAACTCCATCAACTCTGGCCAGCATGGGCCATATTGACTGGGGTTGATTGGAGTTGGAGTCCAACATGTCTGGAGAACACCAGGTTGAGGAAGCTGTTTTGGGATATTTTCTCAGTAAAGCAGAGCATTTGCTATGAATACAGAAGATGAAATCATTATTCTGAAAGCGGATCCAATGCAGATTTGCATTCAGGTATAAGAAAATATATGCAAGTGTATGTTGTTTTCAAGGGTATCCCACCTCTAAACAAATGTTAACTCTTGTTTTATAAATTGCATCACTGACAGTAGCCAGAAAAAAGAAAAAGCTGGTTTAACTTTTTGATGTAGATTGGAAGACGGAATGAATACAGAGCTCGTGTAATCCAGTGTACTAGTAAGCTTAAACACTCCTCATTTGTAGGCTAAATGAATTGTCTGTCTGGAAAAATTCTTTGTGGAACACATGTGTTCCAGGCAGATGAGCCTTGAAATGTCTGGGATGAATTCAAGCAGGCTGATCTTGGGTAGGCAGACTTCTATGAATTCTGAGAAGCTTTATTATTCACATGGAGATGTGTTTGTAAGTGAGCATGGTAAATTGCTCTTGTAAGCTTGGGAGTTGCTAGGGTGTTTTCCATAGCAGCTGCAATGATTCCTGTCTCTGAAGCCGTAGCCGTGCCTACAGCTTTGGCAGTGGGAATCTATACTATCCAATTACTACTCAAACAATCCTAGAATTTCTCTGTGATAGATGTACTAATTACTATCACAGTAGGAAAGTAGTAAGTATGTATTAACTCATGATAGTTCTTCTATTTCTGTTTGGATGTAATACTGTGTTTGTACATGTAACACATCCAGTGTTAATTATCATGGACGTAATAATAATACTTCATTAACTTGTGGATTTATTAAGCAAAGTAATGAAGAACTTTGCTTCATTGAGGGATGAGGGAAGGGTTATATATTTGAGGAATGAGAAGCGTAAGAGTTTTCAATGGCTGTGAATGAGTAGAAGAGGAAACCATTGGCAGAAGACTTCTAAAAATTATATTGCATGAAAAAAAAAGAATCAGCAGTAATGTCTGATAGTCTGCCTTTGGGGTTAGTTTTCTTCTCTTCCTCTGAATTACCATATAGGACCCAACCCTTGAAACTGAAAACAGCCAAGCAAAAATGGGTGCAGGGCTCATCTTATACTCCAGGTTCAAAAAATGTCCTGTACCATAGTTAGTCTTCTGTATCAGGTCGTGAGCCTTGCTTGCCAGTACATGCATGCCCTCGCCAGGGGACAGAGCACCATTCCGAGCTGGCCATATTTATCACTCTATGGACCAGGTTCTGGAAACGGAAAGGAATGGGTGGACTGAGCTGGGTGCAGGGAGGCTCCAGGACCTGGAATTTCAAATGTTTACATTTTGTAATAAAAGATAACAAAGAACAAAAAGTAAATTGGTTTCTCCATCATGGCAGCTGACTCTGGTTCCTAGCTGATTCATACACTGAAAGCAGCAACTTGTTATTCATATAATCATAAATGACTAACCATAATGTTTAGATATATGTGTATTATATTTCCAAAATCAAACACAATGCTGTATAATTCAGAAACCTGCACTGGATTAAACAGAAGTTGATTCAGTACTAATATTTATTTACTTCTGACATAGATTTCTTTCCCACCATCTTAGTTTATTTGCTTTTATGTAATCAAGATAGGCTCACACAAAATATTGGTTATTAATTAGTTTGGTGATGAAATGAGAGCAGAATCTATAGGGCTTGGCCTAGTCTTCCTTTCACTCCTACTTCCCTCTCCTATCCTGCTTGTAACACATAAGAAGTTGCTTAACTGTAACTGCGAATAGAACTTTACTGTATTGCTTTGTTCTAACCCTCCATAGACAATCAGTTGGTTCTCAAGAGTAACTTTGCATTGTTATCTCTTCTTTGCCAGATAGAAGATATCATTACAAGAATGCAGGATGATAAAGCAGGTGGTGTACCCATCCGAACTGTCAAGAGTTTCCTGTCAAAAATCCCCAGTGTCGTCACAGGTATCTATGCATGGCCTTTCCTTTTGGTTGAAGTCGTAATGATGTGCCACTGCCACCATGCACCAGTACCAGTTGTTTCTCTAAGTCCGTTAAGATCTGGACTGGAAGTCCTTCTTTGGAGCCCTCTTTAAAGAGATTAGGAGAGTGGCTACCTGGAGAAGGGCCTTCTTCCCAGTGGCACCCCAGCTGTGGAACATGTTCCCCAGAGAGGTGCGCTCCCCAGCTGCCTTTTTTTTTTATTTTTTTTGGCACCAGGCCAAAACCTTTTTATTTTCTCATTATTTTAAGATTCAATTTTTATTTTAGTTGGACTTCTATTGTAGATATTATGCTGTGCCTTTGTTGTTGGACTATCCCAACACCTTTATGTATGGGACGGGGTATAAAAATGTCTTCTGTTTGTCCATTGTGCAAACTCTGGGGGCAGATGTCTGGGGAAACCTACAAGCCATCCCATGGACTCCCCCTAACTTCAGCCAAATCATGCATAGGGAGCCCAGACAGCAAAGGGTCTATTTCAAATGCACTAGAAATGGATGGCCAGTCTGTATGAAGCCACCAGAAATGTCTGTCCCATCAGATGGACCTGCATGACCAGGTAGGCTGGTAAGGGAGAAGACTCTCTGTCAAATACCTGGTCCCAAGTTGTTTAGGGCATCATATTAAATATGACCTGATGATAAACAGGCAGCCAGTGCAGTTCACTCAATAGAAGTAAAGGGGCAGCTTATGACAACAGCTAAACCACTGCCTTCTGCAGTAAGTGCAGCTGCCAGAACAGCCTTAAGGGTAGCCTTACATTGAGTGCATTGCAGTAACCCAGCCCTGCGCTTACTCCTGTGGCCAAGCAGGGAAAGCAGTGGTGGCATGCCAGTTGAAGCTGCCATGGCCATCTGGTCCTGCAGCAGCAAGGCAAGATCCAGGAGTACCCCCCCCCCCATTATGGACTTGATCATTCCAAGGAAGTGTGACCATCTAGAACAGGCAATATTCCTGTCTCCTGGAATTGAGAACTGTTCACCCACAATGTCTCCCTCTTGCCAGGATTCAGTTTACTGGCCCTCATCCAGCCTGTCACTGAGTCTTGGCATTGATTCTGGATTTTCACAGCCTCACATGATTCGTATATCACAGGGAAATAGTACTGTGTGTCATTAGCATACTGGTGGCATTTTGCTCCAGATACTCTAAGGACCAATCTCAGCCACTTTGTGGAACACTGGGAATGAAAGGGTATCGTGAAGAACCTCATTGCTCAGTTACCAAAGGGCTAAGGAATAGTCACCTAGTGTTACTTTCTGAAATCATCCCCGAGGAAGAACCAGAACTGTGTTTTCCAGAGCTCATGGAGCTGATCCAGGAGGGTATATAGTTAATAGGATGCAAATCCAATGAGAGATCTAGAAGAATTAATTAGATCACACACCTCTTGTCCCTCTTTTGATGAAGGTCATCCATCAGTCCTGTAATATGTCTAGATAACAATCATCCCACAGGAGTGCTTACAGTTGCTCTACTATGACCCACACATGTATTCCCCAACAATTCAATATTCACAGCTGACCCCTACACTATTTCTCACTAACCAGGAAAAGAAGGGATCTGTATGAACTCTACTAGAGATCGTGCCAGCCACCGAAGTCATCTCTGTGTGCCAGAAATCAGCCAGAGATTTGACAGAACTGCCAGCCATATCAGACAGAACTGAGAACCATCTGACTGAGAACCATCTAGATGCATTAGCCTCTGAGGATAGACCATCTTAATAGTCCTTGCAGAAAGCATAGACTTACTGTAACCAAGCTATCCCAGGCTAGAGAGGGGAGTAGCTGGGCCACCCACAAGAGATCTATGCTAGTGAGGCCCCTGAACCTCCAAGCGACAACCCTGCGCCCTCAGTGGGAGTGCAACTCCACCCAGAACAGGTTGAGCACCCCCTGCAGGTGAAGGGACCTCCCACCAACAGCATCTCAGTCTGGTCTAGATTGAGCTGCAGTGTGTCTGCTCAGAAGCATATTCCCAGGCAAGTGAGTGCAAGTGTGCAGCCTCACTATAACAACCTATTCCTTGTGTCTATGCCTACCACAAGAGAGAGAATGAGAATGAGAGAGGGAGAGAGCAAGAGAAAGGATTGATACTTACAGTGGAATTATGAAAGTACATGGGATTGTAACCTAAATTAAAAACAGTAGGCTTTTTACATGTAATGAAAACAGGACCCATAAACATAATATCTAGCCACCGCTGCCATTCTCAGTTCACAGACTTCTTTACTCACCAACAGGAAAAGATCAAAAGAGATTACACAAACTCACTTTATCATATAGCTGAAACATGAACATCACATCCATCTAGCCAGTGCCTCTCCTACAAAATCTGTTGTCACATACCAGCAGGGAAAGATCAACACATACACTCAGCACAGAATACAGTTCCCCCAAACACATATGACATCAAACATAACAGTTAAAAAGATTCCTTTACATTGCTTAGTATGTTTAAATGTCAGGAAAATGTACAAGCAGTACAAGCCAGAAACTGCAACGGATTTTAATTAACAACCAGTACAGATTGTAAGGCTGCAATTTCAAATACACTAGTGTCCCATTGCATCCTATGCATGAAGTCATATATAGGATTGCACTATAAAAATAGCAGTAACAAAAGAGAAAGAGCAAAAGTAAATGAATTAGAAAAACCATTTTTGGAGATGCTTGAATTTGAGGTGACCTGAGACAGTATCCCTCTCTGGAGACTGCCAGCAAGCACAGCAAAGCACAAAGCCCACAAACAATATTTTATAAAAGATTTTGATTGTGATTTCATTGCTAGTCACTTGCTGTACTCTCTCTGCTAAGCTCAAGAAGAAAAGAGAAAGGGAGGCTCAACCCAGGAGGCTCAGCGAAAGCAAACAGCAATGAAACAACAGAATAGTGTTGTGACAGATTTGCATTTGATTTTTTTTCAGTTACAAACTACCATGATGTTAAGCAGAATAGTATGTCAAAACATAAAAGCTTATACAGGTGTAGCTTATTAGAGTTGCCAAATGTCTAATTAGAATAAACTATGCAAATTGTGAGTATTTGCATATATGTTGTATGTGGTTGCATATTTTGTTGCAGAGCCTTTCTTTACCTTATACTATCAAGCAGTGCTTTGCACATGAAAGGCTGCGGTACACAAAGCGCTCTCTCTGGCACTGAAGTGAATGATCATGCATAGCATGGAAGCAGAGCTACTGAAAAAAGCCTCTGCCTATGAGGGAAACATAAAAGCGCAGCTTCTGTCCTTCACAATACACCTAACAACAAAGAATGCCACTTGTCTTCGTCAGTCACTAAATACCGATGGTACAACGTAGGCCCACTATGAAAAAGTATGTGGCTCCCATGGCATGTTGACAAATGTCACATTTGAAAGTCCCTAGGTTCATCTAACTGCAAGATGCATCCCATCAACTCAAGCTCAGAAGACCAAGATGACTTAATGCATATTTAGCTAAGAAAGGGGACTGCTGAACTTCTTGTTCAATAGTCATATGCTTGATTAAGCAACAGAGCAAGCCTTAGGAGAATAAGGGAGAAAAGGAGATGAGGATCATTTCCAAGCCGAGTATACTTACCTTCATGCAGGATCCAACTTCCCGAAAACTAGCCTCTTGCATTCTGCAAGCTGCAAAAAAGGCTTTTCCAGACATCTAATGTGCTACCACAACCCATCCATTTTATGTAAGGCCCAGATTATTCCTTCCAGAGAATTCTCCTCTTGTGTCACCCTGCAATTTATACCAGGGGAAGTAATACTTCCCAAGACAGGAAACACAATGGGACGGTGTTTGCCATGTAGAACGCACAGCTGCAGGAACCTCCTGTCTGTGAAGGGCCCCTTACTATGCTTGTTAAGGCTTGTGCAGTAAGAAGAGGTTCAGGTGTAACCCATCCTGGTAAGTAGGAATCAGCCATCATTTCCCTGTAATTGAGCTGCAGCGGAGAACTGTGGTTTGAAGAGGCCACAGCATCTCCGCCAAAGCCAGATGCATGAAAGGAGGAGGGGTGTGGCTTGGAGGGCCTTCTGGGCATCGTGATTCATCTGTCTGTGATCATCCGCCATGATGGGAAAAACTGGAAGAAGCACATGGCACATGGCTCGTTGTAGACAAATCCCTGTGCATGTTTATACAAAAGAAAATGGCCACCCGCTGGCTGGCCATTAAAACTAGTAAACCATGCCTTATCAGCCTAAAATTGTTGTGTCTGAAATAGTCCAGTGAGTTCATTGGCCATGCTGGCTGGAGCTGATGAGAGTTGTAGGCAAACACATTTGGAGATCACCCGGTTAGAGAAGACTGTTGCAGGCTAACCAAAGTAAATTCTTTTTGACTCAGTTGCTTTCAGCTCCGGATCAATATGTAGAGAAGGAAGAAACTGTGGAATAATAATGTGTTGTGCATCACGTTTAATCTGACAATACTTAATAATATTGAGTTTCAAATCAAATAAGTCAGTTCTTACTGGCAGTCATGTTAGATATTCCCAAATAAATGGCTTTTGAGTTGGGGGACATATATATTTATTTATATTTAACTTTCAGGAACTTTTAGCAAGAGGAAATGTTACGTGACAAATGTGGATGAAAGCCCATTGCTGTTTTATGTAGGTGAATTATTATTAGTGTAATATTGCAAGGAGCACTTCTGCTAGTGGAACAATATGTAACCACAAGCACAGCCCTGCCACTGCAATGGGCAGTCCTTCCGAGTTCCCTTTACCCCTCTAAAGTACAAAGTCAGATTTAGCTGGTATTCTTGATACATTTTGTGCATGTTTCCTTCCCAGCCAGTAGTAGCTACAGCTGCAGAGTGGACTCAGGGAAACGCACACAATGAAAGGAGAACGCAGGATATGTGCTTTGGGTGGGATGGGGAAGAGAACTTAACGAGGGGCTGTCCCATGTGCCTCATCATACAGTCTTTCCTGATTTTTTTTTTAAAACAAACA